GGTTACATCCCCAATTGCAGAAATTCATCCCCCAATTCCGTGACCTGAAAGGTCAGTGTGTGACCTCACTGCTCAACTTATGTCCAGCAAACTGACCACCAGATGGGCTGTCCAGTATGAAACTGACAGCACATTCAAGCAGGGTGCTAGCAGTTCAGATTAACACCTCTCACAAAAGATCAAATATATTGGGATTTAATCTGGTTACACTTTGAGCTTGAAGTGTCATTAATATCCAAGTATTGTCGTAGCAGCTGGTTTGCACAAGACAACATGAATTCCTGTTACAAAAGTAACACCACTTTGCTGTCCTGAGTGTAAGTCCGACTGCAAGTCAAGTGTTTGTCAACTCCCTGCCATCTTTACTAGATTAGCCTAACATTAATTAGCCAATTAGCTCATTATTTTAACCACTAGTCAATTTTCCCACCCTGATTTTGAAGGGGAAAGTCGAGTGACTAAAATATTCATGATGGAAAGAAAGATAGGAGGACCCTTAATCCAATTTGCTGGAACTGTTTTAAGACAATTACTAAATAGAAAAAACTATTTAAGACCCACTCTGGAAATAAAGGATGTCCTCTTGAATAAATCATAATCTGTTTTCTTGTTATTTCAAATGAGGCTTTAAAGAATCTAACTGATGTCTTTTTATGCCTTTTTCCATTAATACATATTTCAGAATTTTGTCACTTCAAATCTATTTACAAAACTAACAACACATATTTAAAAAGTACAAAATAAGAAGCAAAAACATACAAGGAAAGTAATTAAGACAGTTTATTCACAGATATTGTTAGAAAGTGGTTGAATGGCTTTGGGGAAATAGCTTATTTCTTCAAGTTAATTTTGTTCACTAACAAAGAGCCCTTGCAATCACAGCATTATGCTGGGCACATGCCTTCTAATTAGGATTTCTCAGTTGGCAGAGACCAGAAAGCAGTCCTCAAGTGCATGTCAGTTTTCCCCAACGACATGTTTTAGTTATTTTTTGAAGTTTGTAAATTCACTTTTCAATGGAAGACATCCCACACTTGAGAATCTAAACCTTTACGTTTTACAACAACAAATGAACAAACATATCTGGCAAGCTGTCTCATCCGTTTCACGTTTCTCCACAACATAGGAATCTGTTTCTTGCTGTATATCCACTTTTGAGTACTGTAACAATTAAAGTCAACTTAACTTCAACCAGTGCATTACATTAATTCAATATAGCCAACGATCCCATCAAAACCACATAAAGTATGTATTCTGGGCAGACAATTCGTCGAAAAACTAGGTCTCTCAATGAAAACAGGTAGAGTTTCAAAGCAAACTAAATTATCTGTAAGAAAAACAAGCCAATCGAGGGAACCTCCACATAACAACAGTTTAGTGGTAATCTAGATCTGTGTATCCACCAACCAAACAAGATGAGAATCCTGAAGAGGCTTGTCAGATTGTCGAGCCAGAGTAAAGCTACCCAGAAATTAGCCCCCAACCCTGAAACAAGCCAGCTGGATACCCCTCTTCTTCATCAATAAATTACCTGCTCTCTTGGCTAAAATAAAAGGTGGTCTGTTTGCAGGGAAGCTTCTAATTACACCAACAACCCCTAGCTGTGAGGAGCTTGACAAGAGATAAGATTTCTAGACTGGGGGACAATCAATGATTGTAACATGTGACTGGTGGTTGGTAAGCTGCCATATCTGCACTTTGGAGTGTCAAACAAGATTCTTGGTGACATCCAACAGAAAACAGCTTTGTCTTTTTGTTTACAGATTTCAGGCAGTGGCTTGAAATGCTTATTGAAGATGGCTGGTTCAACTCCCATCATTTTCCCCCTCTTTTAACTTTGCCCAGAGTTCCATCAAGTCTGTGTAGGAGGCAGGCTTCCTCTGAGATACAGATTGATTCACAAATTGAAGAGTATGTCTGCTCTGTGAAGACATGATTCCAAGTGACTGGAGCGGCATGTTTCAGGGTGGGGTTTCCCTCAGCTTGCTGTGGGCTTGTGGATGTTGACAATCTTCCCTCAGCCTTATATCAATCATTGACAACCCTAATCACACACAAACTACGCCTTCCTCCACATGCCTAATGTGGAATAGCTTAAAAGGATCAAGGCTGAAGTTTGTTCTTGCTCTGGATGAATTAAAGAAAAACCAGCCTTTTTATGTCAAAACACATGTGTTTCCACACACACCAATCAGTCATCCACCTATCCCTCCTGAGCCACACAGCAGAGTGAAGGTCTCAGTCATACCACAGTTAAAACAGTCTCCATCCCCAACATGGCTCTAGCACATGCTGTTATATACTTACAGTGTTCTTAGGTTTTCCTAGTCCTTATGTCTTAGTTTTACACTGACATCTCCAATGTACTGCAATAATTATTATACTACAGTCCATATGGGTGTAACTCCAAACTATGTGTTAGAATAGAATAGAATAGAATAGAATAGAATAGAATAGAATAGAATAGAATAGAATAGAATAGAATAGAATAGAATAGAATAGAATAGAATAGAATAGAATAGAATAGAATAGAATAGAATAATACTTTAAGTTTAATGCCTTTTCAGGAATTTGTGTTACATCAGCAGAGCTACTGACACATCAGAGAGATACATACATATTTACATAAATTCATTGACTTAGGTATCTTCACATTTGTTTAAAAGAGATATGGTACTTGGAATAAAGGATGTACGGGCTCTTAGTATTTACAGTTGGAACTTTGTAGCAGTAGCCTGAAGGGAGGAAGTTGTATTCCGAATTTATGTAGTGAGTATGGTCAGATATGATTTTGACAGCTTGATTCACGATTTGCCGCTCATATATTGATGATAAACATTCAAATCTGACTCCAGCAATTTTACTTGCAGTGTTAACAATTTTGTCTATTTTAGATTTGAGATGAACTGAGAGAGACCCAGACCAACAATGGAAGGAAAATGTTAAAATACTCTGAATAAATGCTGAATTAAAAGATGACATCACAGATGGGTTAACCCGTGAAGGTCGCTGACTTGGTTGACACATGTCATCGGTTCCCAGTTGCGCAGATCGATGCTCATGCTGTTGATTACTGGATTGTCTGGTCCAGACTTAATTATTTACAGACCCTGAAGCAAATATATCAAGAAAGCCCGCCATATAGCTGGAATATTGCTGAGTGTGGCATAAAACTCAACTCACTCACTCACTCCAAACAATGTTCCTATGCAAAATATTGTTTCATCCCAAAGACAGTATGGACTGATGTTTGATGCTTCTATGAAACATACAAGAATGGTTTTTCAATGGTTACTTATTTGATATGTGTCTAATAGCTGTGTTTTTCACCTAAGGTTCACAGTGTTTTGGCAATTGTTTGCAACCTAATAGTGTTTGGAAGTTTTGTTGTCAAATCCAATATTCAAGTTAATACTTTCCACTGAACACAATTTCTTTAATATCTGACATTGAAAAAAAATATTAGACATTAACTGGTGGCGGAAATGGAGTTTGATGATATAGATTTAGTTCCTAACAATAAATTGACCATTTGAGAATATTTTGAATTAATAAAAACCACAAATAATCAGCATGAAATTTCTCTCAAATTTTGCATATATCACATGTGAAATATAAATTAACTCTTTCCTGACTTGAAATCTATTGTTTCATCATTTTGCCAGGAACCTTCCATCCCTTTAAGCATCATACACTGTTTTGATCTACGGTATGTTCTACAACACACAACCTGCCTGGTATCCCTATGACAATGTCCACAGACTCAGTTTCTTCATATTCTATAATAGCTTCTGACAAAAACGCCTGCAATGTGAGACTAACTTCTCCCAGTTGAGTCACGAAACCACATCCCATGATTACCTCTTCAAAGACCTCATCCTCCCCCTCCACTCGCCCTTCTTATCCATCACAATACTGGGGACACATATGTCATACATTCACACCATTTCCACAATTTCCATGGCAATCAAATATCTTCTGCTTTTGCTTTGTTTCAAAACACATTTCATGGCGTCAACATATTTATCTGAGAAAATGATGTCTGAATTTTTCTACCTATGACCAAATGTTTAGCATTAACCTTTCAAAAGTCAGATTATCAAAGATCTTGACAAACCGAATGCTAACATGCAGGCGGACATGTGAAAGGCCATTCCTTGCACTTTCATGTGGAAGGTGATACCCCTACTTGTAAAAACTTTCTACTTCTAAACCGAAAAAATACAACTTTAAAGATTCCTTGCTGTGAAGCTCCAAACTTGAAGTTTATAAAAATAAAACTGTTTACCATAAATACATCTGTCCACCTATCATGGAAGGGAACCATGGTCGGAAGGATATACACTTTGATCCAGTGGGATACCTCAGCCTCAAATATGGGGATTCATATTGTTTAAGTTCAGTGTTTAAAATCAGACCCTATAATTGTTTAACCAGGTAGAGAAAAACCTGCAAGGCATACCTCATAAATAGACTGTTCATTGAGGAGACACAGGGCTCCAAGAAATGAGGAAAACTGTCTGACTCTGGGAAAGGGAAACATCAGAAGGTCTGATGAATCTCAACTTCTTGCCAGCCGTATTGTCTGATACCCAAGAACTCACAAGCTGGGACTATTTTTCAGAAACTTTGCCAAAAATTGGGTGTCACGTCAAACCGTTTTCATGGCAGGGTTAAGTTCCGACACTAGGGAAAATTCCCGTTGGACAGAAAGAAGAACAGCAGGTCTGGCAATAGTTGAATTTCTGTCAGATCTATTGTCTGGCAGGGAAAAATAAATTTCATCAATTCTGGGACATTGAGTCAAAATGCATGACTTGCACATGCATTTACTCCACATGCATTGCATTAACATCTGTACACAGCAACAAAATACTCATCCTCCATTTTGAAAGCCGCATTTCCTTGAGATTAAGCAGTAGATCAAGTCAGCTGACAACTAATTTTAAAAGAGAAAAAAAAAATGTAAGAAAATGGATTTAAAAAGAAACTAATCTTACCTTGACTGTGGCTTGAGGTTCAGTTAGCCGTGAGGTAACAGAGGCTAAGTTTGATGATAGTTGTTGGTAGCGACTCTGGAATGGTTTTTCTTTCATTTGGTAGTGGGCAGGGCCAGGTTTCTCCACCTCATCCTTCTTTGCAATGGCCTGGACTCTGGTGGATGTGGTCCCAAACACCCCTCGACGCGTACTCTCCAGATAGGCCTTCCTCATACTCTCAGCACCCATACCACCGATGTTGTACGCCCCGGGGCCTAGAATTACAAATTTTACATTCAGATTGAGTTTGAGCTTTAGGTAAGAAGTTGCTATTTCAAATTACAATGTAATTCAGATAATCTGAATCTAAGAGGAAAAGTTCAGGTTTTATACATAAAGGGAGATCACTCTGTACATATGTCTCATATATCCAGATGTTGGGTAATCCTCCCAATGGGAATAATATATATATTCATCTGGATAATAAGCAGTAATACAATAAAACTTTATTTAATATAATTTGAAGTTAAGATGTTGAAAAAACAAAACATGCACCTCACTGGCCTAAATAATACTCAAAAGTAACATATATTTATTTCCCTGCACCTGTATATGTACAGAAATAGTTCTGAATCTGGGTTTGAAATCTACAGTGACATTTACTGATTTGTACTAGCCTATCGTGTGCATTATCCACTAAATGTTTTCTATCCCCTTGAAATAAATAATGAGGGGATACATTAAGAATGAAAGATTTATACCAAGTGAACAGTGGATGTCAACACAGTGAAGTGCTTGTACCATGGCAGGATCTAAACGTTGCTCTGCTCCACATCTAGCCGGCAATGTTTGATTTATTACCCCAGTTCTTGTTTGTTAGCAGAGAACAACTGTTTGGGCAGCTCAGATTTCATATGTGCATACATTAACTTCCCATACACATTTGTTAAACAACTTCCCAACAAACATAATTTATGAAACTGTTCAATGTAAATCATCCAGTTGCAATATTCTACTTCCTGAAAGCACTGGTTATATGGTTAAACATGTGATTGGACATGGCATCATAGTACTACTGATGACTCTCATAACCCCTTTCTTCATCCCGACCAAGAGAATTATAGCACGTATTTACCTCCCAGCTGCTCAACACTAGTGTAAAATGAATGGGAGTGGATGCCGCAATCTGATTGGTTGAAAAATATCAGTTAATGTGACTCCAAGCCTGCAAATCTCCAGGAATATTCACTACATAGTCTCAATATGTCATATATCACAAATTGGAAAATATGCCATTTGGCAAAGGGATAAGAATTCTGTACCAATTATACAATGCTTTTAATTAATAAATATCAGAAAAACTTCCACTCAATCATTCTAGCACATAGTATTATAGTGGTAATACAGCAAATTATATCTGTTAGAAACTTGCAATGCGTATAATTTCAGTAAACATTTGAGAGTTTTGAGAATTGCAGGTAATGCTGAAGATGACTGGAATTTGTATTTGGAACCAATGGCGTAACACCACCAAATCTTAAAATACATTATGTTTATCTTCTCAGTGAATGTTAAACCAAACTTCAATACATTTCAATATTTAATGTTATGTTTCATTTTAACATCAAAATGATTCACTCAATGAAAGGAAAATAACATGATTCAACATTGAATATATTTACCAGTTATTTTTACCCTATTTACTTTTTCAATGTAATTTTTTTTTTTTTATTATTATTTGTAGCAAATGAATAATGATCATGTTATGCCTTCCAACTCAATTCCAATGAAATGCTTAGATCCATCAGACAAATTCTTCCTTCTTTACAACACTACACATCGTGACTCTCACTGTCAGGCATTCCAAACAAAGGGAGACAACTCTTGCCCAACAAGGATACAAGAGAGGGATTTTACCTGGTGTCTTCTTCACTGGTCCTTCAGTGTTGAAACGGACAGATGTCTGACCAAATGGGCTCCTCTTCAGTCCGGTCACACGCTTTAGAGAATCCAAGGCAGATCTTGGGTCATTGTACACCCCAGGAGCTGGAGTGATGGTCTTGAGCGGTTGAAATCTCTAAAATGAAGAAATAGATATTTTCTGTTAGATTTGCCTACCTCAATGAAGTTGTACAGTATTTTCAAAGCCTGCATGTTATCACTGACAACTAACCATGATTGTATGTTCAAACACCGGTTGTACCCACCTTTGATTGGGACATAAACGGCGGGTGTTCCACTTCAATTCCATCTGTGTTTATCTTCGGTTGTTGTATTTCAAACTGACCTTTTATCTCATATTTCCCTGGACCTGGTATTCCCTGAAAGTAAAACAAAATCTTTGTTGAAAAAATGAATGAAAACGATATGTACAAATAAACTTAATAAACAATAACATCAAAGATCTAAAGTGTTATCAAAGCATTAGAGATTTTGACATTTATTGCTATCAATAGTAACAGCCTTATTCATTAATGTAAATTTATATGCTAATAGCATGAGAGTGAAACACTGTTTATAGCACACTAAATTTGATTGTAAATTTTTCAAAGGGGTTCTGCATAGCAGGGGCTGCTCTGTTTCCAACACACAAGCCATTGAAAACAAATATTGTCGAAATGTCCACATGCAGATGTGATTCAATTTGTTTTGCATTCATAGCAACATTTTCAATTTGATTTCAAACTGTGATTTAAAATAAAAATCAAAACACTTCTCGTATATCAATTACCACTTATCCGCCAGGCTACTTGAATAATTAGCGAGCAGTTTTCTACCGCATGTTATATGGATGTCATAATTGGGGATTTATTACTGAAGCTTGAACTATAAAATGATAGCTCTCACAGTGCTTCGCCCTAAATCAAAGTGATATTACTTCTAAATGTGCACTATGACGAATTATCCGAGAGGAAAACTGTATGATTTGTGTCGGCCTCTCCTTCGCGTGTTTATTTATGGTCATGTGAATGCGCCATGATAAAGTATTGCCAGGGGGTATATAAAGTTGATGAGGAGAGACTGTGAGAAAAACCCAGTTCTACACTCTAGACTGGTCCCATGCTTATGGGCGATAATTGAAACCATATTTCACCAACAGAGAAAAAAACAACTGGCTAACAATAACCCCCTGTTCTTAAATAGCCAGAAAAAATAAATGGTGAAGTTTTATAAACTCAATGACACGACCCTACATCTACACACAATCTACACATCGACAATGCCCAGATCACTGTTTTCATCCTGAACAGCTGGACGGTGATTTCATAGACAAACATGTTGGTTATGCTTGCACATGTATTACAAATTCTGGATATTTTTTTAATAGATTTATGATTCAATTTCACAATGTGACATATTCCCCTGGAGGACTATGATGACACTTATCATTCAACGTATCCATGGTAACATAACCACACGCACAGTGACCTTGTTTTAAAATGTAGATTCCAATGTAAATATTATGGTGAAATTTGATAAGAAATAGAGCATGTCCCCTGCAATGAACATTTGTTGATAACAGAGTGTCAAAATATATACAGGGTAACATACTGCCAAAATGGCAAAGCGTCATTGACTTTTTATCAGCTGTTTATTTCCCTTAAATCTAACCCTGACTTCCATGGCAGTCGGGACAACTATGCTTTTAACCTCTTGTATATCACAGTGTAATGGATTCCGTAATAAACACATCAAACAATTTGTTGGAAATAAGATTTGCTGTGGACTTCTAGAAATTCTGACAAAAATCTACATTAAAAAAACCCACAGTTACATTTCTGGCCAGACTGATTCACAATTTCAATTAGCAGCATTATAACATCTGCAAATGAATTTGGTAAACTATGATAAAAGACATCAATCCCGTCCTGTCCTAATTGTCAGGAGCTTGTTAGTCAAGTCTGATTAAGGTTTTGGTGCTATCTAAACTTTCCACTCTGGTGGATGAAATCATCTTCTAGGTTTAACCATTTTTTCTTCATTTGTACCAGCATGTTCAGTTGGCAGGCTCTACTCAGTGTTATTTATAATTGGAAATATTTCTGGCTGTCAAAATGAACAAATTATCAGAGAATCTTTATACTACTGTTATGAGGAACAGTTGGCACCAAGATTTGACAAATATTCCTCTTGGAATGAGTGCGCACTGCCACAATATGGAGATCACACATTTGGATACCAACATGTCAGGGATTTGATTCCCGCAAATTATGCTGGAAATCTTTTGAGTGGCTTCACGTCACTTCATGGTCTTCAAAGAGTGTAAGAAGCACAATGAAAGAGAGACTTAATCGTGTAAATTGTGACTCATACATTCCTGACAACTAATCTGAAAATTATGATCTAATTATGGATGCAACTCCTCCAGACACAAGTGCCTAGGTCTAGGTTTCTTATGCCAGCGACTGCAGCTTCAACCCAGTCTTTACAGCGCCAGTTCCACCATCGGCGTGGAGACATAAATTTCATCTTCTAACATCAAACTAGTTCTTCTGACACGTAGTGGAATATTTAAGATAAATGTGGGATAAATCGAGTTATCTTGGTTGTAAATCTCAAGCTAAAAGTATTTTGCATAAAATGTGTAATTAGATGTACATTTCACCTAGGTAATAAATGCAAATATTAAAAGGAAATTGATTTGTCATTAAGTGTCAAATGGAAATGGTGTTTTCACAAGATTAGTGGTATGGTAATCAGTCCATGGATAGAACCCATAAAGTCAGACATAGCTGGAATGTTTCAGTTGGATCTAAACATGTAGCGACTGGGTAGTAATTATAACACTTTTTCATGATACCACCACCACTTCCCAATGATCGGTTTGTGCAAGTGGGTGCAGACCGAAATAATGTTCAAATTAAGAAAATAATAATTTGAAAATACAGAACTGGGAACCTTGGCCTCATATAGTTGTGATGGAAACTGGCATCTCCTTTTCTTTGGTTGTGTCATTATCTCGTGAGCCCCTCTCACTGGCACTGCTCTAATCTCCTCCTAATAAATGACCACTTCCTCACACCAAAAACTGTCCTCAGTAAGGAAAGAATTTATTAAATTTTGAAAAAGTTGAAACCTGAACCCAGAAAAATATCATACCATAAAGCTTGTAAAAGAGGAGATATGCAGGGAAAACAAGGAAATGAACCTTGGAATGACATTGCTAGGGATGGAAACATGGACATTCTGCTCTGTGGGCAGAGGCTATCTCCACTGGACCATGGAGGCAGTTGGAATAAAACACATCATATGAAGAAAAACATCAGCATTTTTTAATATAATCACACTTTTGAAGAACTTAGGGAGGAAAAGGAACAAAAACTCAAAGATCTTTAAAAATGATTAATTTTGTTCCATCTTAATTACATTTTAATATGCAATGCTGTTTATATATATTACCAGTGAAGTTTAACCTTCTTGAGGAATCCAATTCATTGGACTTACTAAGAGGCTCTTAAAATCACTCCAAAACAACATCATGTCCAACTACACTTGTTTTGAACACACATTGCCTCTCTGCCCATAACTTAATTTTGTCTTTAAGTGTTTTCGTTTGAATGAACATAAATACACACAATCACTCCCATGTGTGATGCTGGTGATGTTTATTATGACTAAAAGGGCGATGGCTATAAAGGGCCTCATCATATATGTGGATTTATTTCAGAAAAAATAAACTCCTTGAAGATACTTATAAGATGCTACCGATTCCATCTTATCCCTGAATGCATCTTGTGAAGAAGAATTAGATTATTTAGGTTCAGGTCTGCAAGTTTATTATAACAGAAACATGCATCCCTTGGCTAAATCAGAATATATTTAAAAGAAATATACATATTTTTGGTCTGATGTCAGGAAAGATATCATGGAATTTGATAGCTATATAGAGATACATAGAAGTTTATATACACACATATATTGAAATAAACAACAAAATTGACTTCACAATTTCTTTCATGTAAGTATTTTTGCAGAAATATACACAATAATTTTAAAATATTTACACAAGTGTAGAATCAAAATAAAAGTTCAGAGCTGTAGGGTCTACATCTTGTATTTGAGGGTAGATGAATGACTTTTAAAGATTCCCTGGAACCCGGGGGGACTAGATGATAGAATAAGGAGACACAGCAGCCAAAGAACATATTAAACAGAAGGGATCTGCCCCTTGCACATAAACACTTCTCTCAAGGAGGGGGTGGATTAACCTTTATCAGCTGAGTGCAGATAGCTATTTAAAGTTGCTGTTTGTTTATGATAGTTCATGGTTTCGACCCTATAAATTTTGTGCCACAGATTAAAATACCTTTGTACTGAGTAAGTTGGTGATCCCAGCAACTGGATATTTTCAAAATGTTGCCCAGGTGTGTTTAGATGATAAATGGAGTTAAAAGTCATATTTCATGTTAATGTCTGTGCTGTTGACTGAAGCATTTCATATTCATTTTTTACATTTTAGACAAACGTTACAATTAAAATATACATTTTAACTATTTAAAGGTTGGAATAGTTGTGTCTTGATGTATTTGTGACTCATGTGACCATGAAGACAAAACAAAAAACCATGTCAGTCATGCAGCCCTTCCCCTAGTCTGTCGTACAGACCCTGAAGCAAATATATCCAAGAAAGCCCACGCAAGTCTAGAAAATGTGGCAAGTCTAGATTTCCTCAGCTCTGAAAATGAAGAAAGTCTCAGGGCTCCTTTTCATTATATATATTTTTTTTTTACTATGAACTTTTTTCAGTAAAATATGTTCATTTCAGAGACTAGTTGTTAGTCTACCCTTCCCCCTCCCCATGATATATCAGAAGGGTGATGGCGAAGCCCCCAGATTCATCTTCATATTTGTGACTGGTATCGGCCAGGATGGAGGGACACTTGTTAAAACCATTGTTTAAACTTTTTTAAATGACCTGCTATGTACTTGGTTTGATAAATGAATTTTTGTAGTTCATATACAGAAATTTGTCTGTGTTGAACTGAAAATTTCAAAACAACAATGTACAAACACCAAACAATGACAGTGTTTACTGTATTTTTAAACCTTTTCTGCTCATAAGTGACGACACTGTAGTGACATTGACCATTATCTTACTTTACATTAACCGCCATATAGCTGGAATATTGCTGAGTGGGGCGTAAAATTAAACTCACTCACTTTACATTAATATACAACCTAAGGAATGGGCAAATTTTCTTTGAAGCCCCCACACAGGTTGGGGACCAATTTCATGTAGGCTGACAAGAAATCAATTAGAACACACCTTAGGTTAATTGCTTATCTTGCACAAATATTATTGGGTTTCTGAAATAAGGGGATGTTTATCTGATTGTAGGAATAACGGGAAGAAGCTGGGTTCATCTGTTACGAAAGATTCAGTGATATAGCCCAAGTATATTGCAGACCTTTGTGAATGAATGTTGACAAATTATAATTCTTGTCAACCCATCTCTCGGGTCATATGGTGTGATGTACCCTGGGTGTGTGCCTATGTAACGAAACAGGGTTAATAGGCTGACACATTGGGTACATTATAATATACTCCATATCATTTAACATCTACAATGAACAAAGGATGGTGTACAATCAAACCAATATTTACCTTTTTCTCCTCATCTTTAACCACTGCTTCATGATACCGAGGAAGTTTGGCTTCATATCGCACACTTCTCTCCTCCTCTGCGATGTTGGTGTTTTCAGGTTTGTTTGGGACTTCCTTATATGGCTCATATTCTCCGGGGCCTGGCCCACCTTTGCCGCCAAATTCCACACGCTTGGAAGTGAGTTTACCAAAATGAACCCCTTTGTACTGTGAGGTGGGTTTTGTATCACCCTGAAACAACAACAACAGAAAACATAGTTCCTCTCAAAAGGTTCATAAATAGACTGCAAGAAGTCTTTCTTTCACATGGCATTGTATTTTTGGGGAAAGAAGGAGTGTCATTAAGAATTGTCTGAATAGGTGAGTGAAAGAGTGAGTGTTTATCAACAGAATAAGTAATGTTCCAGAGGGAAGTCTGGATCGGACAAACCATTCATTGGTATCAGGAGAAACTTGACCATGTTTATGGATACAATTATGCAAACTCAACTTAACAGCGAACACAAACATGGGCCCTGATCACCCAGTTTGGTTGTCTCTGTAGAATATCATTGGGTACTTGGAGGATGGGGTGGTGAGCAATTCTATCTAACCAGAAACCAAATAGTAGATTCCTATATTACATGGTCTCTGATCTAACATGGTTACCTCAGAATGACATTTTACCATTACATTTTATGAACAATATTCATTGGAAAATGGTTCTTTCCAAAAAGGGCGGTGGGGTAGCCTAGTGGTTAAAGTGTTGGCACATCACGCCAAAGACCCGGGTTAAAATCCCCACATGGGTACAATGCATGAAGCCCATTTCTGGTGTCCCCCGGGGTGATATTGCTGGAATATTGCTACAATCGGTGTAAAACCAAACTCAGTCAGTCAGTCAATCTTTCCAAAAAAGAAAAGAGGACACAGTTCAGTTCATCGAATACCTAAGGACAAATATTTAAACATGCAATAGTTAACAGAATATGGTACTTTGGGCCTGGATGACCTAAAACGAAAAACGTGAATCGAAACTAACAACTGTTCCAATTATTCAAAGATGGAGTCAAGACATTTCATACATGTGTCTGTTCTGGTGAAAGTGCAGATCACTAATGTCTAGCACTGACGGATCACTGAGGTGCCAACACAGACATGAATAATTTATGTCTACACTTGGAATCACCTCTGACTCCCTGCAACTTCCTGATGAAACAAACTGCATTGTTTGTAGTTTGATGGACATTTCCTACAAGTTGACAGGAGACAAAGTATACTAATTTTGGATGAGAACTTATTCATTTTACTGTATTTCTGGTGTTTGGTTATGGATCCTTATACCGTTGTCAAGCAAGAGTGAACAATGAACTTTGTCCAGAATATATCTGTCGAGGAGCAACACTAACAAACTATAGCCCAACTATGTAGATCTAAGCCTCATCAGCTGGCGTCTTCATCATGTGTTCTCTGTCCATGATCTTGTTGCAATATTATCCTTCAGTTGTTATGAATCAACCTACTCACATTAATCTCTCCCATGACTGCAATCATTCTTCCTGTCAACATACCATATATACCTAGTATTATGTTCAGTATACAGTCGTCCTGCTTGACAATAGCATATGTATCCAAAACAAATCATCACTACTACACAACAATGTAGAAGCTGTTATCATAAACTGTGTCTACTTTGTAGTGTAACTCATAGTTATATTTATACACAAGCTCCTCATCACAAAGCTGACAGATTTCCTTGTTTGAAAAATGGATCAACTACCTGATAGACCAAGTATCTGAAAATGACATTTGAGACAGGCCATCTTTATCAACCTCCTAGAAGGATTATTAATTATTAATTAAATGAAGAAATATGGACTGAGGCAAAAAGCCAACAAAATGCCTGAAAATTCAGCATTTTCATGAATTCAGGTGAAAAAAAAAATCTTCTTAACCTGATCACAACACTCAGGGCACATGAGATATGATGAAATAATTCATAAGATTCACCTTTACTTGTGTTGGAAGTAGCCAAATAGTAACATTAGAAAACAGTTCAATAACAATTAATGTTTCCATATTTTTATCAGTTATATGCACGCTCCTTCCTAACCATGCTAATATGTCACAATACATTATATCAAATAAGCAATATTTGTCATGTAAAAAATCTGACTGGTTGTGTCTGTGCTGGTGATAAAATTTAAATACTTTAAATTCTTAAATCACAGATATCTTGATATTAAAACCCCTCATCACGCCAGTGACCTCATCATTGCATGTTTTGAGTTGTGGCAGCCAAAAAACAAAAGGAGCAATCTGTGGGAAAGATAATTATAAAATATGCATTATGAACGACAAGCGTTAGATGTATCCTCAGAGGAAGAGGGTGTCGCTAATGGCTGTCATTTGCTTAGTCTGTCAAGAGGGTTAAATCCTTTGTCCCATCAAAATCCATTCCCACTTTTCGTGACTTTTCTCATTAGTATGCAAATGTATTCATAAAAGCTTGCATCTCTACATTGTCTCTTGCTGACAGAGGTGTGATGGCTAGCTCTTCTTCACGTGATAATTAGACAATTTCCCACTAACGACTGACAGGCAGAATAAAAAATATATGACAGTGTATCAACTAAACTTCACAATGTTCTTTATCACTCCTCAACCCATGCTCTCTGCTTGCTCCCTGTCATCAACTAACAATTAACATTGACACATTTTTAGCCAACATTGGTAAAATATTCATAAAGTTTAAGGTTTGTTTTCTACAATATGCCCTCTGCATGCTCTTTATAATCAACTATTAATTAACAGTAACATTTTTAATCAGCACTGGCAAAATATCTGTAATTTGTATCGTTTATGTATTTTTTTAGTGTGTACAATATTGTTCTCAATCAAGAGTTAGCAATGATTAACATTAACACATTTGTAGTGAACATCGGTGAAATATTCATAAAGTTTAAAGTTTTTATGTTTGTGATTGTGTTCACTATGTATTTTATAGCTGTTTTCATGTCCAAATGAAATGACTGACATTTGTTCATATTCCTGTTATTTTATACTTTCACTCAGTGACTTGTGTGTTGACAAGTAATTGGCACCAACGGAAATGTTGCTCTGTCTGTAGAAAAACTATGCAATATTTCCTTGTTGAATATATTCTTCTGCCAAACATGACAACACTGACATTTCTGATTATGAATAAAACATTATATCTGTGACCTTGTGAAAATACCACGATATAAATTCTGCACTCTAAATCTGGCTTCTGCACTGACAGATTTCACATGTTTAAATGTCTTGTCATAAATTCTTTCCAAGTATGGCTATGTTGTTGTATAACATCAAATTGCAAGACCCAGGTAAATTTTAGGTTGGCTAAATATCACATGATATCTACCCATGTCACGAGTGTGTTTGTAGTTTAACACTGGACCAAGCAATATTCCAAACATATATTTCAAGTATCAGATACCTAGATACATGGAGACACATACAGGTACCCAGCTCCTCAGAGACACATGCAGATACCTAGCTCCTTGGAGACACATACATATACCCAGTACCTCAGAGACACATACAGATACCTAGCTCCTTGGAGACACAGACAGATACCCAGTACCTCAGAGACATGTACAGATACCCAGTACCTCAGAGACACATACAGATACTGAGTACCTCAGAGACACATACAGATACCTAGCTCATTGGAGACACATACAGGTACCCAGCTCCTCAGAGACACATGCAGATACCTAGCTCCTTGGAGACACATACATATACCCAGTACCTCAGAGACATGTACAGATACCCAGTACCTCAGAGACACATACAGATACCGAGTACCTCAGAGACACATACAGATACCTAGCTCCTTGGAGACACATACATATACCCAGTACATCAGAGACATGTACAGATACCCAGTACCTCAGAGACATGTACAGATACCCAGTACCTCAGAGACATGTACAGATACCCAGTACCTCAGAGACATGTACAGATACCCAGTACCTCAGAGACACATACAGATACCCAGTACCTCAGAGACACATACAGATACCTAGCTCCTTGGAGACACAGACAGATACCCATTACCTCAGAGACATGTACAGATACCCAGTACATCAGAGACATGTACAGATACCCAGTACCTCAGAGACACATACAGATACCTAGCTCCTTGGAGACACAAACAGATACCCAGTACCTCAGAGACATGTACAGGTACCTTTAGCTCCTTGGAGACACAGACAGATACCCAGTACCTCAGAGACATGTACAGATACCCAGTACCTCAGAGACATGTACAGACACCCAGTACCTCAGAGACATGTACAGATACCCAGTACCTCAGAGACATGTACAGATACCTATAACTCCTTGGAGACACAGACAGATACCCAGTACCCCAGAGACATGTACAGACACCTAGTTCCTTGGAGACACAGACAGATACCCAGTACCTCAGAGACATGTACAGATACCCAGTACCTCAGAGACATGTACAGACACCCAGCTCATCAGAGACACATACAGATACCTAGCTCCTTGGAGACACAGACAGATACCCAGTACCTCAGACACATGTACAGATACCTATAGCTCCTTGGAGACACAGACAGATACCCAGTACCTCAGAGACATGTACAGATACCTAGCTCCTTGGAGACACAGACAGATACCCAGTACCTCAGAGACATGTACAGATACCCAGTACCTCAGAGACACATACAGATACCCAGTACCTCAGAGACACATGCAGATACCCAGTACCTCAGAGACACATACAGATACCCAGCTCATCAGACACACATACAGATATCCAGTACCTCAGAGACACATACAGATACCCAGTACCTCAGACACATACAGATACCCAGCTCATCAGACACACATAAAGATACCTAGTACCTCAGAGACACATACAGATACCCAGTACCTCAGACACACATACAGATACCCAGCTCATCAGACACACATACAGATATCCAGTACCTCAGACACACATACACATACCCAACTCATCAGACACACATACAGATACCCAGCTCCTTTGAGACACATACAGACACCGAGTACCGCAGACACACATACACATACCCAATACCTCAGAGACACATACAGATACCCAGTACCTCATAGACACATACAGATACCCAGTACCTCAGACACACATACAGATACCCAGTACCTCAGAGACACATACAGATACCCAGTACCTCATAGACACATACAGATACCCAGTACCTCATAGACACATACAGATACCCAGTACCTCAGACACATACAGATACCCAGTACCTCAGACACACATACAGATACCCAGTACCTCAGACACACATACAGATACCCAGTACCTCAGAGACACATACAGATACCCAGTACCTCATAGACACATACAGATACCCAGTACCTCAGACACACATACAGATACCCAGTACCTCAGAGACACATACAGATACCCAGTACCTCATAGACACATACAGATACCCAGTACCTCAGACACATACAGATACCCAGTACCTCAGACACACATACAGATACCCAGTACCTCAGAGACACAGACAGATACCCAGTACCTCAGACACACATACAGATACCCAGTACCTCAGAGACACAGACAGATACCCAGTACCTCAGACACATACAGGTACCCAGCTCATCAGACACACATAAAGATACCTAGTACCTCAGACACACATACAGATATCCAGTACCTCAGACACACATACACATACCCAACTCATCAGACACACATACAGATACCCAGCTCCTTTGAGACACATACAGACACCGAGTACCGCAGACACACATACAGATACCCAGTACCTCAGAGACACATACAGATACCCATACAGACACATACAGATACCCAGTACCTCATAGACACATCACCTAGTACCCTAGACACACATACAGATACACATACAGATACCCAGTACCTCATAGACACATACAGATACCTAGTACCTCAGACACACATACAGATACCCAGTACCTCAGACACACATACAGATACCCAGTACCTCAGAGACACAGACAGATACCCAGTACCTCAGAGACACATACAGATACCCAGTACCTCAGACACACAGTACAGATACCCAGTACACTCAGACACAGACAGATACCCAGTACCTCAGACACATACAGATACCCAGTACCTCAGAGACACAGACAGATACCCAGTACCTCAGACACATACAGGTACCCAATACCTCAGACACACGTACAGATACTCAGTACCTCAGACACACATACAGATACCCAGTACCTCAGACACACAGACAGATACCCAGTACCTCAGACACATACAGGTACCCAGTACCTCAGACACACATACATATACCCAGTACCTCAGACACATACAGATACCCAGTACCTCAGACACATACATATACCCAGTACCTCAGACACACATACAGATACCCAGTACCTGAGAGACACATACAGATACCTATACCGACACCAACACAACATGTTTTTATCATCTTCATCAACCCCTCGTCACGTTATCCAATAGGACCAGCTGTATGTAAGCCACTGACTTCTTAGTAGATTTACCATGCATGTAACTCATGAAATACATCTTCAGTAATCAACAACATCCACACAAGTGATGGAGACCATGTAGAAGTGTCAACTAAAAATGAGGCATCCTCAAGTATATATTCTTGTACTAAGTACACTAGAACCACAGATTTGCATGGGCAATGTTTTGAAAGCCATTATTCAGTTCATGACCAAAACAAATTTGGTGTAGTGTTATTAGAGAACAATAAAACCATCTCAGACAAAGTGAAAATAAGATAATTCATTGCCACAAAAGATTTCTGAATGTTGAACAGGAAACTCACCCAGCCCTATTGAGTAGAAAGGACATGCATCATGCAGCTACATGACAAATTGGGACTCCCTCCCAAGAAACTTAATGTCAGTGACATTACTAACTAGCACTGTGAAGATTTATGTTCCTTGGTAAAACCCCAGTCAATTACATTCAAATTGGTTTTAAGGGTACTTTCAATCATTTATGACACTATCTCCTGAATAACTCATGATGCAAAATATGTACTAATGTGATCCTAATACTGCAAGACATTACACAGCACCTTTGATAATAGTCTGTTAAACTCTAAAATGCTATCCAAACAGATTAACCCTCCTCAATAAAACTATTTGATATCTGTTAAAAGGTCACACCCTGTCCCATAAAGGTCACAGTTACCATGCCACCTCCCATGGTCCTGAATACTAATGTCCTACAACTTGTCATTGTGTTAAAGTCACTTGAAATACAATCCATCCACAGCCGAAACAAATGTCTTAAATTTCAGAAGTGAAACGCCCTTTTGAAACGGTCATCACCATCTTTGTCCATCTCAATCTTTTAATGTCGAAACAGATTTCAGCTAATAAGATAGCATTAGAAGCTTGAATAATTTTTCCCCATATTTAGCTTCATCAAATCACTACAAAGTTTTCATAACCTTATACATAATTGATTTCCTGCTGTCACGTAGGGCCGGTACACCCGAGGGGCAGCGAGCTGCGGCCCACGTCCCTGAGATCCATGCCACCTCTTGGTTTGCTTTATGTATGCTCAGGCAGCCATGAACAATGTGATGGTATTGCTGAAAAGCTATCAATGCTGTAAAAAACTCAGCCCAGCTTGGCCAAGAAGTCTAACAGTGTTTAATGATATGATACCTAAATGGCTATGCTGTGCCTTGCCTTGGGGAAGGGCAGTCTTCATAAGACCAAGATAATGGGCAGGCTTGAGACTATAAGCCTTATGTACCGTACACATGGACAATACTGGATTAAAACCAATCGAAGAGGAGCTAATAATTAGAAATCTCAGGCTCATTACAATTCTCGGACCAAACGTTACCATGCTCTCCATCAGTTGCTCAATCTGTACAATATGTCACAGTCTTTGTGAAATCTTACAGATATTTTGATTTATACTGCTACTGTGGGTGCTTAACTTGAAGCTGATAACAACAGGGAGCAAGCCTTCTTCCAGGCAGATTAGGGCTGTGACACTGTCATGCTACAAATATCTTAATTACCACAAACTAATTATTTTTATTGAAAACTGCCATTGTCCAAAAAGCACACTTCAATCGTAGCAAGCAGATGCACAGAATTTAGTCAAGAATTTGCATTTTTAGTTGGTTTGTAAAGGCAGTAAAATGTTCCAGTAACAAATGATTATGTCCAACCTTGGAGGAGTTTGCATCAATCATGAAAGCTAGATCTATTGCCTTCATGTTATATTTTAATTGTAAAAATGGTTGGGAATAATTTGACGTAAAACAAGATTTGAGTAATTAGACCAAGTAGCTGCCATTAACTATCAGACAATGTGAAGCAAATTTAGACAAATTACTTTAGTTCTTAAAATTACAATTCTAAATTGACCCCTTACAATACTGTTCAGTAGTTTTGGTTATGTTGCTTTATAATTGTCTTTGTTCACAGGGCTTAACATTTTATGAAAGACAAGAGACCTAAAACACAGTATTTTATAATTTCTTGATAAAAATAAATACACAACAAAAGAGAAAAGGCTTTCAAACTAATTTTGAAAAATCATCTGTGTACTACTTTCAAAATTTCAAGATAATGGACTACAATTTTTAACATCCTATTTTGAAAATAATGAAATTAAAAAATAATTATTGTTTAAATTATTAGAAATTAATGTGCTTTGTTAACATTATCTTCATAAACATTATGAAGTGAGGGTCCAGTACACACTTTCCTAAACAATGTTAAATGTGCACCAATATTTGTATAAATTCTTTTTTAAAAACTGTAGAGGGAAATTTGAGGGATTGGATCTAATGGCTGTTAATTCAGGTCAATATACTTAGTTGCAAGTAATCAGATTGTTACAAAATATCTAACTACATTTTATCCTAAGACATGGGTGTCTAATCACCTCCCAGCTTCCCAGTGCTATAATGGAGTAACCATTGCCATTACTCTATGATTGATTTGAGCTAATGGTTCTCAGCTAGTACAAAGCAGAGAAATAAGAACCCAGGTCGTTAAAGAATGAAAATGACTTGCTCCACCTACATGAGCTGGATTATAGAACGCAGGTCCAAGGGAGCGGTCTCTGCTTGGAGCATCCTGTTTCTTCAGTGTCCCATCTTCAAACTCCTCATAACCATATGCCTGCCCAGGATAGGGAATAGATGGTGCCTCTGGTTTACGATGGAACTTGATTCTGTTCGTCATTAACTGAAAATGGACGAAAAGTTTAATTTAATTTCACAAAGTTAACTTAGTGCCCCAGCTGTTGTATCCTCTATACCTCTATAACACAGTCTTACACCTACTGGCAAACGAGGACAAGTTGAGCACCGACCTGACAATTGACCCATATTAGCATGTATGAATGCCGCCCACTGGCGCTTGCCATTGCTAGCGAAAGGGCCCCAGGTTGTCCGCGATCAAGTGTAGTGTGACTTGCTACACCAACGTGAGAGTCTTATGAGTAAGGCGTGTGCAGCTACGCGCAGAATCAATTTCATCGTCATGCAATGCACGTGCTCTAGCCTACATCTGCTCTACCTTTCACAAACCAAATGGGTGCACCGCCTTCTTCTCGTAAACGCATTCTCAGCACTGGTCCAACTTATCCTTGTTTGCCAGTAAATCGAAGTGCTAACACCACTTTGTGAAACTGGGCCATGGTTGTTTGGGTCATACACACATGCGTGAGCCAGTGAGTTTGGTTCACTGTCGTTTTTAACAATATTCCAGTCACCATTGGTTACCTCACATTGTGTCATCTTGAAGTGAAATGAAAACCTGAAGGTTTTCTTACATGCCTAAGGGAGGAAACTCTGCACAGCCCCTGTAGCTCACATGAATAATTGTAACATGTCTGAAGGATACGTTTTACATGGGGCATCATACCATATTGTGTGAATGTTTTGCACATTTTGTACACTTGGAAACAGGATAAATAGTATTTGATAGGGATGAGTACAAAAATTTGTTTTGTATATATTCTAACCACACACTGTAACAGCATTACTGCGCACAACTCATAACTGGTGTTACCCTCCTCAAAAACCTCCCTGCCATATCCATGGATCATAAAGGCCATGAAAATAACTAGGTAAGATCAAAGAACATTATTGGTATATAGGGGAAAACCCATGTTCCTCTACAGATATAGATGAGGTAGAGTGAGTGAGTGAATGAGAGAGAGAGAGAAATGGGCTTCACACATTGTACCCATGTACCCATTCACCATATAGCATCACAGTTTAGATAAAGAATCATATAAAATAATAACGTAATTTTTTTAATTAAAATTGATATTTTATACTTATCCTGACTCATGCTTAATTGCTTGTCTCCTTCTTCCTGCGAATGATAGTGGAACACTTGCATCCCCTTTTTGAAGCTCCCTTCAAAAAAGCGGACGTAAAATCACTCACCCAGTGTTATCTCCCTTTAGATGTTTTGGCGGGAAATCCATCACATGACCCAACATGCTCTTCACTCTCTCCGAAATATACGCCCGACACCTGGATTACATCCTCTGATGAGTTTGGGGGGACCACAACTTGTCAGATTTCTCTGGAACCGCTTCTCCTGACATTAAGTGTGGATTTATACGACTCCATGTCTTGATGCTCGCATCAAGTGGAGAAGCGACCCTTCTTCATATACAAGTAACTCCTTTACAAGTACAGGGTCTATCACTCATGCTGGTGTGTCCTAGACGTGCGCATGGACTAAGAGTCCATGCGTTCCGAGCGTTGGCATTTACAAGTCACGTGATAAAAGGGTGAGATTCATCTCAGCACCTTTGAGGAACCGTCAATTGTTGTGCTACAACAAGACGCGCAAACTGTTGAATGCCGGAGACGTCCTCGGTAGCAATGTCTCTGAGGTAGTGGTTGACAAACACCATCTCTGACTTCCAATAACAGCCCTCCATTATTGTCGAGATAGAGCAGTTTCCATGTAGAGCGAGTGTCGATGCCAGCACTCTGACTTCATAAGGATTGGAGGCTCGTGAAGGTTCAAGTCCTGCTGCTTTGTAGGCCCTTAGGATCACGGCTCTCAGCCATATCGATATCGTCGTACGTGAGATCTCTGTAGGCTTCTCCGTAGATAGATGGATGAAAAGGCGCTTGAATTTTCGTCTCCTCGTCTTAGACCTTTGTAGGTAGACTTTCAGTGCTCTCACTGGGCATAAGGATAGATCCTGAGTATCCTGTGGCCCAAGGACTGCCGAGAGTGCTAGGATGTGGAATTGTCTGTCTGGTTGACCGGGCAGTTGGTTCTTTGCTATGAAGTCCCATCTCAATCCCAGATGTATGATGTTGCGATGTGCATCAAATCGTATTCGTTCAAAGTCCAGAGCATGTATTTCCGACATCCGAGCTGCTGTTGCCAAGGCGACCAGGAACAGAGTTTTATGTGTTAGAAACTCATAGGATGTCCTTTCTAGTGGTTCGTAAGCGTCACTGGTGAGATGCGACTATACGATTCGCTGCGATGAGCCGTATTCCTAGGACTTGCAGATCCTGTGTGGGTTCTAGTTCCGACTTGAGGAGATTTACTAGCCATCCTAGTTGAGTGAGTGGCCTGATTGTGAAGTCTAGCTGCAGTCTGAGTTGACTGGGATCTTGATGAGCTTGTATCCCGTCGTCCAGGTAAAACGCACTGCGTAGACCTCGATGATGTAGATATGTGATGATTGGCTTTGTCACTCGAGTAAACAACCAGGGGGGCTGACGATATTCCAAATGGTAGCACCTTCCATTGGAAGTGACGTCCGTTGAAGAGGAATCGTAGGTATTTCCTTGAGTCCGGATGTATCGGGATGTATCGGGATGTGGAGATACGCATCCTGTAGATCTATGCTGGCGAGGTAGTCTAACAGACGTACAAGTTGTCGCAGTTGAGGAAGATGTATCATTCTGAACTTTGCGGGACTGCGTAGATAATCTTGATTTAATTTCCTCATGTTGTAGATAAGTCGGAACTTTTCCCTGGAATTTTTCTTTGGTACTAAGAAGATAAAGGAGTAAATACCAGGCGTGACGAGCTTAGTTGTGGGCCAGAGAGTTGCTTGTCAATGGTGGTACTGCTTGTAGTTGTATCTTGTATCCTCTGTGTAGGATCTGGGATACGTAGTCGTCCTGAAGAATTCCCCAATTCTCCCAGTAGCGTTGTAGACGTCCACCCACTGTTGAAGGTTGTATGGGAAGGTGGGGTGACTCCAGTCGTTCTGAACCCGCCCTTCAGCGTGCGTCTAAAGTTCCTGGCACCTCTGGATGCCCTGCCTCTTCTGGGTTTACCTCTGGGAGCTCTGGTTGGGCGACGAAAAGAATTATTGCCTCCTCTGGAGCTGCCATATTTCTTTTCCCTGGCTCTCTGTATCCCCGTAAACTTCGACTTGCCGGAGTAGCGTTGCGACGTCTGACGGATAACACTGGCTAGTGTATCGATGGACTTGATCATCATTACCTCCCTTGACTCTTTCGTTACTTCCTTGGCCACCTCCTCAATTTCCCCTGTGAAGATAGATGATGCTGACCACGGGGCTCTGTATAGTGACTTGGTGAAGCGCTCACTCCAACTACGGGAAGACAGCAATCCTTGTCTTCTCAAGAGCGTCAGGCCCGCTGATGTGGATGCCAGATGTTCGGACATAAAGATAAACTGATGATCTTTTTGGGGGGTCAGCAATGCCGAGTAGATCATTCTATCTTCTTCAGAGGTCGAGTTCCTGAACTTTGTGATGAGGGTTTCATTGATGGCTCTTGACCTGGCTAGACCAAAGAAGGTACGTCTGGTAGTTGTGTCTGGTTGTGCCAACTTTTTATGCTCTACTTTATAAGTCCTAGATCAGGAGTCGTTGATGATCTTGTAGTTCTCATCTATCATCTATCGTGAAGGGTTCCATGTGGTGAAGTGAGAACTTCTTGGTGTTGAATGGTTCCTGAAGGCTGTGCTGAGGTTCTCCGGTACATCCGAGACAGGATCGATGGGTGGAAGGGTAAGTGTATCAAAGTCCTCGTTTGACATCATATACGTGCATGCTTCATTATCCTCTTTAGAAGGTGATGCAAGTTCCAATCCATTTGCCATCCAAGATTTGATCTCTGTATCGGAGAATATGATTCTGCCATCATCTTCAGATCTAGAGGCTTCTTGTTCTGTAGATCGTTGCCGTTGTGCCTCCTTCCTGTGTGTGGAGACCTGCGTGGAGACCTGCGCGCAGGCGACTGGTTCGGATAAGGATCCTCCCTGGAGTCTTGAGACGTATCTCTGTGCCTTCGTGAAGATGTAGATTCTCTTCTACAGTATGCAGGGTGCCTGCGCGCAGGCTCCTGATGGCTGTCCGTATCTGAGGAGGATGATCTGCGATGTTTCGGTGAATGTCTGGTTCTGCTCCTGCGTGAAGGCTCTTCTAGAATATCTATTGCAGATTCATCATTGTCCAGGCTGGCAGGTTCTCATGAAGTTGTCGTTGAACATCGTCGAGTATGTGATCCTTCATGTAGGTTTCCTCCTTCACGCAGGCTACTGTACTATCTTCAGCGGGATGCGATCTGCAGGCTGCTTGTCCTTCATGCAGGCTCGTGGTAGATGGGGCCTTCGTTGCAGCTTTCTCCTGCACGAACCTCCATTCCATCAGGTCCAACATCTGCTGAGTAAACTGCTGCATGAAGATACTCAGGTTGAAACTCTGCGACGACGGCTGCTGCTGCTGCAGTGAGGACGACGCAGAGAGTGCTGAGGCTTCTCCCAAGGACTGCTGCACTTGTGAAGACCTGCCATCTCTATCTGATGTCTGCGTTGATAGAACATCTGACTGCGCTGAGGTGACTGCTGATGTTACTGTAGACGAAGACCTCGTCTTCTTCTTCACTGCTACTTCAGGAATGAGGATGGGTGGCTCGTCATATACATCTACTTCGTCTGAAGGGATGATTTCTGCAGCGAAGGACCTCGTCTTGTGCGCTGCCCCATGGGAAGACTTCGCCAGAGTCTTATCTGCAGACGACTTCTTCTTCTGAGAAGACGATGCCCTAGTCTTCTTAGACTGTGACGAGGTTATAGTTGATGTTGACGACCTCTTCCTGTAGCCGGAGCTACCATCAGCCACAGCAACATGCTCCGTAGTAGCAACCGGTAAAACACTGGAATGGTGAATGTCAGCAGACAGCAATAAACGGTTATCAGCGCAATCACTCGTTTTAGACATGACTTGTAAAAGCCGTCTAGACCTGTCCTTGGCACGTCTAAGAATGGAATATAAATAATTATTTAATTCAATTTCAGATAAATGCTGACAAAGTAGACATTGAAAGCTGGAAGAACATGTAGAAGTACAACTAGGACATAATGAATGCAGATCAGCAACCGACAACCGGTACCTGCAATGAATGCAAGTTTTCATCAATTGTAAACAAGATGAAAAATCATGTCAACAACGTGAATAAACAGATAATTTAGACAAAAATTTAAAACCATGTTGCTGGTATATCATCCTAAATGCCGTATACAGCTAATTTAGTAGTAAAGGCCTAAATATAAAAGGATATAACGACGTATAGGGGACCTAGACGCTCTCACAAACGTCCTCTAGAGCGAAGAAGGAGAGAGTGAAGAGCATGTTGGGTCATGTGATGGATTTCCCGACAAAACATCTAAAGGGAGATAACACTGGGTGAGTGATTTTACATCCGCTTTTTTTAAGGGAGCTTCAAAAGGGGATTCAAGTGTTCCACTATCATTCGCAGGAAGAAGGAGACAAGCAATTAAGCATGAGTCAGGATACGGAAAAATAATAATCAGCGACTGAAATTCAGAAATAATTGACAATTTAAGACAGACTTCATGAAACCCAACTCACAGCTCCCTTTCCTTCAGATCGGAGTTCCGGGGCAGACTTGGACTGTCGGAACTCTATTCCCATGTCAACCTGATATGCCCCAGGACCTGGAGTATCTTTTTCTGGTTGGTTAAACCGCTTGGATCTATTCGCTAATGTGCGTCCACCCTGAAAAAACACACACACAGTACAGTTTTAAACTGCTGCAAAACTCTGAACTGAAAAACAACAAAAAACATTGAAGGATGCACCAATATATTTTTACATCTTACAAAGACCAATTTGTTCCTTGTTTCATAAACAAAAATGAAAAAGAAAATGTTGTTAAATTATGTTTCATAGAGCATTCTAATGACATGCTTTTGTTGGCATCACTATTCAAACATCTTTCAAGAGTTTTAGACACTTTATCACAAATAAACACAAGCAACAGTTTATTTCTCTTTAAGTTTTCTCCTGCATCTTGTCATATTCGGCAAGAAAATCCATGGAGGAAACTATATTGATGTGGCCATATTCAAGTTTTTTTAAATGATGATGCTGTCAAACAAACAAGAATAAGAGGCTTTAAATGAAGAAATTGCCTCACTATCAACATTATAAAATCAATTTGCTAATTATTGCAGTTACTACAGCGATGTTTCTCATTCTGTGCACTGTAAAATGTAGCCAAAGGGAGACAACTCACTTTAACAGCATCTTGTGGCTTGGCAGGATCATAATGGCCTGGCCCAGGAGCTGCCACAACCTGGTCAGTGACATTGAGAAATGTCTCTCGACTAGTCATGGACAAAAAAGGAGCATATCCATCTGGAATATTAAATACATAGTTTCACATACATAAAGCAAACAACAGAACCAAAAGATAGAACAGATTTGTGTTCTTGCAACTAATGCTTCATTTCAAGAAAAACTGCAATGCATTTCAAATGCAATATTGCATTTCTATAGAGAAATTGGCATTGAATTATGAGAAGGTAATGTTGATATGATTTCATGTTACTTCTGATATAACTGACTGACTTAAGACTGAAGAAATTAAACACACAGATTCAGAAGGGATGCAATGGAGAGTATTTCATTTTTCTGATGAATACTAAACAAGTACAATATACATGTATATAAAGATAACTGAATTATTTTTAACAAATACCACAGCTATAAACACAAATTGGGAGGCAAATCATTTGCATTCAGATCGATTGTTAAGTACACCTGTTTTTTTCCCATAAAGCTGTATCCTTGCATGCAAGTACACAGCATAAATGATGGAAAAAACTTAATATTAACATGATCTAAACACACACACGTGCACACACACATGCACGCACACACATAAATCAGTGCTCTGACTTTCATAAAAACAGATAATGAAGATATATAGGTTAAGATATTGTTCTGTTTCAATCTGAGAAAAATGGACAATGAAATAAGAAACCAAATAGATGGGAGGACAGATGAATTGACAGATAACTGCCAATAAAACACCATTCAAACAGCTTTATATTAAGTACATACCTGCTTTTAATCTGGCTTTGCTAACTGCAGATGCATCATAAGATCCGGGCCCAACATTATGAGGCGTACTCCCAAAGGTTTGAACTATATCACGAGGTGCCCTGTCATACATGGCTGCAGCTTATCTGTTGCATGTATTGAAATAAGTTGAACATCACAATGAAAGGATGAAAAGTAATCTTATCGAGATCATCTATTATGCATCGGCAACAGTATTTATTTACCATTTGGAAAGGATGGATGAAATCGATTTTAAATGTTGAACACGTCTTAGTTACAAATATATGCCAGAAAGAATAACTCTGTGATATTTATAGGTGCATTCGATATAATCAGGTACAGGTATCCCAATAAGATCACTGAGATGGAAATATCCACCGTACAGTTCTGGATTATTTACATCTTTTCATCACATAAACAATTGTATTTGCATATTTAATTTCTAGACTAACATGGTGGTGGTCGTGTGGGCGAGAAATCATACTCACCAGCTCAGATATCCTCTGGTATTGCGCGATTCTACGACCAAAACAACAATCTTCACACGTCCATGATCTTTACAGTTGTCTGTTGCCATGGAGCAAGATGGCGGAAGCAGAAATCGATCGATTTGTGGTTGTTGTTTATACGTCGATTAATCGAACCAAACAATTGTCGTTACAATAATGATCAAATATCCAACAAAAGCGAAGTATAGTATAGTTTTATAGAATAAACTAGTCTAAGTTTTGGGGGTGACGTGCAGATTTGCAATTGCGACAACCAGAATTTATCTAAGTTCCTGTTTTGGCGGGAAGGCGTGATCAGCTGTTCGAAGACAATTCATCCGCTGAATATTGTGATATACAACGTGTTTGTGGTATTTATCCCATGACAGTGGTCATCCCATGTTTATGCCACAATAACTCTTCTTTATCACGCATTTGCATGCAGTTTCCACTAGTTTTGACGATGATATGCGTCTTTCTTTTGTCTTCAAACATATAAACATTTACTGTTGTTATGGGTTTTCGGACACTCAAGTCAAGAACACCCGTTGTTGTCTTGATTATCGCGTGTCACTTACTTATAAAAGATGACTGGGATGCCAAAGACAAGCCTTTATTCAAGATTTTATGCATTACTCGAAGGCTTGCTAAACAGAACCCAAAATGACATCCCTGCTCAGTATCCAAGATCAGCTTACAGTGAAAATTAGACACGTGGATATGTTGCTTGTGTACATTCTAATCATAGATAGGCTCCACGGACTGGTGCCATTTCAAACAACCCATCATAATAAGTGAATTGTGTGATTGTCACAATATGTATGCAATTACTCAGGGTAAAAGGATATTTCAATTGTTTAGAATTGTTTTGATATTTAAATATGACACAGGATTGAGCTGGAAAACTTGGAAAGTATTGGCTGTATGACCCAATGTCTGATATGAACCTGTTGAATCAGTTGTTATCAACCATAATCATATAATCCCAAATATTATCATTTCTGCCATTGTCATATCACATGTTATGAGCACACTGTTGTTATAACTTACTTCTTATTCCCTGCATGAAAAAAATATTTTTCCCATTATTTTGAAAGCACAAGAGATTAATGTCAATAAATTCTATTTCAGACAATGAAAACTCGCAGTTCAGCAAGCAAGGCAGATGAGATTCACTTCATTACTGGAGGTGGAGGCTATCCTGGGTATAGTCTTGGCAAGAAGTTGACAGAAGAGGGACATAGAGTCAAATTGTTTGACATTCGGGAACCAGTATGGGATTTATTGACTGGAATGGAGTTTATTAAGGTAATCAACAATCAATCTGTCAACTGGAATATTTCATGGATGATATTAATTAGTTGTATTCTGATCTGCATAATGGCAATGACACATATGTATTTTTGCATTTGCTAAAAAACTGACACCGACAATGAAAACTTGGAAGTATTATGATTTTATTAAAATGCAGTATACTTCAAAGACATGTAACACAAGAATATGAATGGTATGTGTGAGTGTATTATTGTATTATCAGTGTTTCCGCTGACTTAATTATTTATCGGACACTGTGTCTGGCAACCTATAATTTTACCCGGACATGAATGAAATTTGTGGTCATATCCTATTACCATACTGTAAGTACTCATTTTAAAGTTATTTTTAGCCTGGGTATTTCCCAAACATAACAACTTTTGCAACAATCTACCGGTCCCCAACAAATTTTACCGGCAATTTTCAGGTATATACCTGAGAATGGAAACACTGATTATGTGTGAAATTGACTTGAGTATAAGTACTGCAATCTGTTCATATCATCATTATTTTTGTGTCATAGATGTCAGTAGAGTTAATGGTAGGGTGTGAAATTATTCAAAACTATCAAATATATACACATGTATTATTGAGTATCTTACAATCAGGAAAAGGCAGTTTTGTTTTTAATTTATTTCTTTTCATGTTTATGTTGCCTTGTAGACAGAGTATGAATGATCATGATGATGTCTGTTTTCGAGCTGATCGTCTCCTATTCCATGAAAACTGTGTTACACAACACATTACACTAGTTATTGTGTTTTTTGCGCTAATGTAAAGTGTTAAGGTATAAAAAGTAGTTTGCAAATGGATTGTTTTTCAGTTAGTGTATTTGTTGATGTAGTCTGTGAGATCATGTAAAACATATGTACACTCTGCTGATGTTTTGTTTATGTCAAGAAGTGCCATTATGAAGATGCCGGTTCGGAGCTTGAAAAAGTACTGTGAAAACATGATGCTGTGCCTCTCTGCACCGAGGCATGTTGCACATATAACTCGGATATGCTTAAGTCTGTTCAAATGACTTATCTTTTGACATGTCAAGAACATGTGTTATGCTTGGAACATCTACAGAAATAAACATCTCCAACATTCATGTTTGGGAGCTAGTTTTTACCTTGTGTCAGGTTCAAAGGTCAGATCTTATCAATATACATAAAGATGATGATAGGTTAGACATGTGTTTGTAGGAGAAGACAATTGTGGCATCCATTGTCATGGTGGTTATCCAGTTATTTCAGTTCTGAATGAAAGTTACTTTCAGTTTCAGTGTTTATAGTTCCCTCACGTCATGCATGTCAAGTGATTTCATTACATTTGATTATCTAATCAATCAATTTGCTTGTGTCTCAAATAACCTAATAAATGGCCAATGTCATGCTCACAAACATACTACTGTTTCCTGAGAAACTGATAATCGTGATAACAGAATAGGCAAAGCTAGTGTTGCATTATATTTGATGAACAATGCCACTGCTTTCATATTGTCTTGAGATATTTTCTGTGAATAATTAAATGTGTGGTTTGTGATTTATTATTGTTGATGTATTAATTAATTGATTTCACTTTAGTTTGTGGTTTGGGAGTTCACAATGTGAACCTTTTGCATAAATTCTTCTTAAATGCAAAAATATATCAAAAGTTCAATCTTTAATGAAATTGAGATGTATAATACTGACCATGAGGACCATCCCTTTCATCCTCTTCAGAAGCTTGCAATGTTTTGCTTTCATTCTCCTTGTCAGCACAAGGTCAGTATTCATGGTAAAAGGAGACAAATTTCTTAGTAACCATTTTCTTGTTTTCTTAGTCTTTTGTTGCAGTTCGATCCTTTTTCCAGAGAAAAATGCATGCAAACCCTACCTTGACTCTTCACCCCTGTCGTCCATGTTTGTTGGTTGTAGTTGCCATGGTTACCTTATGCCTATGGTCCAGTATTCAACCATTCTTCAGTTGATTCCATGTTGAAATCTGCAGTGAAGAGTATTTGATATAAAACATGTTTACCATACATCACACTGACTTGTAATTTGTACCAAGAAGGCCATTTGTAATTCCAGTTCTAATAAGAATGAAAAGGATATAATAATACAAAATATCATGTTTTGCAAACTGACCAAATAAGATGAATATCCATTTGTACATTAATTATATTTATTGTAGTATCCTACATTGTTCTAGTTTGGATATCCCAGAATTCTGAACATTTTGTACTATTCCCCTAACACTCCTATCAACTGTACTTGGGAGAACATTCTGACCCTGGAAGATATGAGAATAATCCTTCTCTAAACATTGTTAAATATTGCTCAACAATTCCTTTCCCTCAAGAGAAACACAGGTTTGCCAGTTGCACAACACTGAAAACACCTGTAACTATGCCTTGTTGCACATATTTCTCATTGTCACACGACCTCCGCAAAGGTTCTGATTAGAAAGTAAATAAATAAACAAAAAAGATGTGTGTCTGGCTTTGTGTAGAAATAGATTGGGATAAAGTGGTGCCATTTGGGTATGTTTATGTCTTGTCAGTTACCCCATCAGTTGAGAGTGATAACAAGCTTTAATGTGATAGCCACATAAATATCCTCAAATTGTTTTGAGAAACAAAGATATAAACATGGTAGTTATTCAGTAACACTTAAAGCCCCAAGGATCGGAATTAAGATACTTCTGGGTTTTTTCTCTGCCTTCTGTGACATTGGGTCTTAGGGCTGTGTTTATCATGGTTATGCACAAGGGAAGGGAGGGTGCTTAGTTTAAGCTTTGAAGAAATATAGGGCATATATATCACTTATCTTCTAGATCTTGTGGATGCTGATTACTTTGAAGTGTTACTCTTGAGCTGAATGTCTTAGGGGTGGGGACTGTTGGGTTTAATGCTGAAGGAGAAGTGAGGGGATATGTAGAGGGGTGTGGGTGTGAAGGCAGGGGATATGTAGAGGGTGGGTGTGGTGTGTAGAGGAGTGGGTGTGTAGGCAGGATATGTAGAGGGTTGTGGGGTAGGCAGGGATATGTATGTAGGGGTGGGTGTGTAGGCAGGGGGAATATGTAGAGGTGGTGTGTGTAGGCAGGGGATATGTAGAGGTGGGGGTGGGATGTGTGTAGGCAGGGGATATGTAGAGGGTGGGTGTGTAGGGTGGGTGACAGGGGATATGTAGAGGGTTGTAGGCAGGGAATATGTAGAGGGTGGGTGTGTAGGGGAGAAGTGAGGGGATATGTAGAGGGTGGGTGTGTAGGCAAGGGATATGTAGGCAGGGGAGGGTGGAGTGTATGTAGAGGGAGGTGGGTGTATAGGCAGGGGATAAGTAGAGGGATGGGTGTGTAGGCAGGGATATGTAGAGGGTGGGTGTGTAGCCAGGAATATGTAGAGAGGGTGTGTAGGCAGGGGATATGTAGAGGGTGGGTGTGTGGCATGGTGTACAGGGGATATGTAGAGGGTGGGGTGCCTTCTGTTGGGACAGGCAGATTGTTGGGATATAGAGGTGGTGTGTGTAGGGCAGGGGATATGTAGGCAGGGGATAGTAGAGGGTGTGGTGTGTAGGCAGGAATATGTAGAATATGTAGAGGTGGGTGTGTAGGCAGGGGGGTAGAGGGTGGGTGTGTAGGCAGCCAGGGAATATGTAGATAGGGGTAGGGGTGGGTGTGTAGGCAAAGGGATATGGGCAGGATAGGGGGTGGTGTGTGAGGGAGGTGCTGGTGTGTAGGCAGGGGATATGTAGTGGTGGGTGTGTAGGCAGGGGATATGTAGAGAGGTGGGTGTGTAGGCAGGGGGATATGGATGGGTGTGTAGGCAGGGATATGTAGAGGGTGGGTGTGTAGGCAGGGGATATGTAGAGGGGTGGATATGTAGAGGGGTGGCAGCCAGGGAATATGTAGAGGGTGGGTGTGTAGGCAGGGGGATATGTAGAGGGGTGGTGTGTAGGCAGAGGGATATGTATGTAGAGGGGTGGGTGTGTAGGCAGGGGATATATGTAGAGGGGTGGGTGTGTAGGCAGGGGATATGTAGATGAGAGGGTGGGTGTGTAGGCAGGGGATATGTAGAGGTGTGGGTGTGTAGGCAGAAAGGGGATATGTAGAGGGTGGGTGTGTAGGCAGGGGATATGTAGAGGGGTGGGTGTGTAGGAGGGATATGTAGAGGGTGGGTGTGTAGGCAGGGGATATGTAGGGTGGCTGTAGCAGGGGTGGTGTAGGCAGGGAATATGTAGAGGTGGGTGTGTAGGCAGGGGATATGTAGAGGGGTGGTGTAGAGGGGTGGGTGTGTAGGCAGGGGATATGTAGAGGTGGGGGTGGGTGTGTAGGCAGGGATATGTAGAGGGGTGGGTGTGTATGTGTGTAGGCAGGGTGGGTGTGTAGGCAGGGGATATGTAGAGGGGTGGGTAGGCACAATGGAGGCAGGGATATGTAATAGGGTGGGTGTGTAGGCAGGGAATATGAGGGGCCAATGTAGAGGGTGGGTATGAGGGATATGTAGAGGGTGGAGGTGGGTGTGTATCACAGACAGGTATGACTGCCAGCTCTGTCACACCGAGAAACTATTTACCAGTCAACTGATTTAGTCAGTTTTCATCCTCTAATCATGGTTGTGATTGTTGAACATGAATCAAAATCAACAAAAATGTTCTAAGCTCTGAAGACCAGGTTGTTCCCTGCCACGTTTGTTTACAAATAACACCTGTTCCACCAAAATATTTACCAGTGTTTACATACAGGTTTCCTGTCAACTTTAAACATGTCCTGGGTATCTAAAACAACCCTCTAGCAGCAGGGGGGGAGATTGATAAAATGGTGGTGAAATGTCAGCCAGTCAGGTGATAGCCATTTCGAATGGGATTTTTGTCAGGAATGAAGACTGGGTTAGGGTTAATCTTTTGGACAAATAAATACAGATGCTGATCACCCAAATGGAGACCACTGGGAAGTGCTGCCTTTCTGTCAAACAGAGATATCTTTGTTGTCAAGTTTGGATTTTGTGAGATATATTTGAAATTTGA